AAAAGTTCGGGAGCTGTGAAGTTCCTGCAGAACCGCCTTATTTTGCTTGGAGTGTGAGTACCTCCCCTTACCGAAATCAGACCATATGTCTTAAAAGGGTTGGACGGTACATGGAATTCGCTGCCCAGAAAACTCTGGCAGTTAGTGATGAGTATTCAATTTGAATTGTTCGAGAGCATGCATTCATGTTGATAGCATTTGTCGAGAGGACACTGGTATTTGTTTCGAGAGGACACTGAGAGAAAGAATTTTGTGTCTTATGTATCAGAGCTAGTCATGACGTAGTTCTTGAGAGGACATGTTGGGATTTGTATGCAAGAACTGACTCTATTCTACTGCATGGGTTTTGTGCAGTATTGTGAAGGCGTGTCTCCAAGTCTGTAACCGTCAGGTGAAGACAGCTTGGGCGCCTGTGTTTTGGATCTAATGATCACTCTGTGATGTATCTACCCAAACTGCGCCACCACTGCCAACTACACAACAAACAGCAACTACAATTCTGTTGTCAGTAGGTGCCCTACCGCGGCTCGAAGCTGACCCGTATGATGGCGCACTCCCTTGGGGGCAACAGCAAGACGGTGCTCGTTGCACATTCGGCTGCTGAGGGCGTTCGAATATAGATAGGGAAGATAGGATCAGGCTCAAGCGCGGCCCTCAGGCCTTACAGCGGCGCCTGAGAGTGAAGCGGCGGGTGAGGCCTACTCTCAAATCGACACGATAACGTCACGTCGCGGCTCGCGCTGCAAGGGGTGCCGCTGGGCCTCCCTTTCCGCGGAGCCCGCGAGAAGCCCTCTCTCCGCGAGACGCCGCCACCGAGGGCTCCGGGCGCCGCGCGCCGGACGAGCTGCTCGCGCCGGCGGAACCGCTCTAAACCACGTGGATGCAGGGCACCTCTGACCTCTTCACTCGAGATTATAAAGAAATGGCGATGCGATCGGCTGACACGATATTTTCCTCCGCTCATTGTTCGTTCTTTTCCTTTCCTATCGCCAGAGACAGAGGTTGACGGACGGCCGGATTGCACCGCTGAGCCCCCCCTGGCAACATGTATGTACTGCTACGGCGCTAGCTCCTCCGTACCCGGGAGAGCAGATTGAAGACTTATAGCAGGTGAAGTTAACGGCCTGCGGTGTAACTAAGGCAGACGAAGTGAGATTGGGCTGGGGGAGAGGGAAGATAGAGATCGGGAGAGAGAGAGGGCCCAGTACCACCCAACAGCGGGCCGCAGGGCCTTTTTTCTCTGCTATGTACAACAAGTAGATTTTACCCGCTGGGACCAACGCCTTTTCAGTGGCCAGCCGGTTAGCACGCGGTTGATGCAAAGATTAAAGACACACCTATCTACGGACTTTTCCTAACACCCGGCGTGGAGGCTTCTACACTGCTGTCTACCAATTGCTTCTACCAACTTCCACGGCCCAGGGGCGCGGCGGCTAAGATGTGAAGCGCATGAGGCTCCGTTGAAGACGGATGACAGTCCTGCGCACAAAAATGATTTTTTTTTTTCATGATTGATCTTCACCACTATCCCTGTCACACCGCACCACATGCAATCACTCTGCCATGAACAAATGCTAGCACGCGCCTCTGTGGAGCTGCCCGTAGTTTGATGAATGGCGCATAATAAGACGTGAAATGTCGTTACCAAGGCTGCAAATGTCAACATCGCAATGCGGGTTGGTTTCAGCCTACATGTACAGCAGCAAAGCATCTTGGTGTGTGCATGTGGGGGACCTTCCAGGAGGTTTTGCCGTTCACGGCCCACAGATCTTATTTACAATCCTGGCAGCGTCGACATCCCGACAGGGTTCCTGCCCGTGGACCTTGTGCGGACCAATTGCCTTCCCAGGGAGTCACAGTGTCCGTGCAGGGTCTATTTGCCCGTAAGGTCTACATAGGGGTAGTCCAATGGATACATTTATGAATGTATCGTAGGAAATGACTGGTACAACCCTGGCCGTGTCGACACCCTGGCAAAGGGTTCCTGCCCGTGGACCCTGTGGGGACCGATTACCTAGACAGGTGGTCACAGCATCCGTGCAGGGTCTATTTTCCTGCAGGGTCCACTCAGGGATAGCCGAATGGCTACACGTGCGGGCAACAGAGGGCGGGAACTCCACGGCTTGCCTCTACACCAGCATTTGCAAGTGATCGGTCAATGATCAGTCAGTACGCCTGTCGGGCCAAAAGGGTTAAGATGAACCGCATATTTTGGCGAAGGCTCGATGCTTGGCTGCCTCATATTGAGTAGTTCTTGTTTTCGTTGTCTTTCTTCCAGCAGGCATATCCGTATGATGAACGTGGTTCTTGTTGTTAGATCTATTATCACGCCGAGGACCCCATTCAGCGGACACCATTTTTTTTTCTGGGTGGATTCGACGTGACGCTTGAGAGCAGCGTGTTTAAAAATAGAGTACGTTGGGATGAATGACAGAACGTCGCTAGCAGAGCCTGGATACTCTCGGTCAGAGTATGGTGACGGAAGGACTCACTCGTGGACCCTGGAACATTCTGCAGGGTGTGGGTGGCGAGTGATGAAGCGAAATAAAGATTGGACGGATAGTAGCCCTGGCAACCCTCCTCGGAGTAAGTGAAAGTGACAGGGCTCACGAACCCCACGACTACCTTTTTTACAAGCCGAAATCAAACCTTTTCAGACTAAAGTCAGCGCTGACTAGACTAGTCAACTAGATTGATTTCGGCTTCTATAGCCCGCACCATGACACCCGCACCGGTTTGTGACGTGATTGAGGATTGAGTATGGACGCGATAGATACCCCATGATGGTGATAAGAATGTCTATGCATACCATGAGGAGCTTCTTGTGACGCATGATGAGATAACCCCATGTGGTGCAACATGATGGCCCACCGTGCACCAGAAAGAGATAACTACACAATATTGTCATCATCATGCCCTCGAGCATGTATATGCATATCATCATCAGAACACGGGAACGGGAAACAAAACCAACTCTGATTAAATCTCATGACGCAGCGTATGCATAGTTCCAAACCAACATTGCGCCCATTGGTCTCCATGAAGCACAGTGAGGGTGATCGATTCTTGGTGAATTACTTTAGAATGGCGAGTGAGACCTCGTTGTGCAAATGGGTGAATTAGGGAAAAGCATTATTTGTGATGATATGCTCTTTATGGAGAACGATGAGGCACCATGCGAAAATTCTCTCTTGGGGCGCGAGGTTTCTTTAGCCGCAAGGTAAGGTTTCCGCGAAATTATCGGTCCGTGTAAGAAAACGCTAACACGTGGACTTGTCACTTGATGAACACCAGCTTAAGGGCTAGCTGCTGTTGGCTGCAGAAGACGCATGCCATCAGGTGTTCAACATTGTTTCGGACAAGTCTTCGACATGCAGTGCCGGACCACTGCTAAGGAACATATTTTCTGAGCAAAGAGGCTAAAGCCTGGTGTCTCGACGATTGAGCATCAGGGCTACCATGAAGAATTTAGTGCACTTTCAGCGGCTGAACCCAATTCCTAATGTCTTCCATGTACATACTACATATATATGAGCCTGGCCTCTTGCGAGTGTTGTGCTTCTTACAACGAGGGCAGCAATGCCTGTGATCAAAATATTTCTTCCTCCTACAACAAGTCCTTGCAAAAAAGGAGAGGACGGACGGGCTTTTAGCATCCTTCGAGGACGATCATATGAACCACGCGGGATCAAACTTCAAGAGCAACACACTTAGGATACACAAAAAATATCGAAGAGAGTCGACTACGCCACGCCGCGGATATACATTTGCCACGCCTCATAACCCCCTCAAGTAAGCAAGGAAGAAACGCGGTAAGGATGGGTTTTTGCCACTTCTCTACATTCGACGTGATTAGAGCTGCAACACCTATACTAGGTACATGTTCGGGCAGAGATAATCCCAGCTTCCAGCCCTCTTAAGCAGACTCCATCCCCGAACCTATCTTCGTCTACTACCACCATAACCACCACCACCACCATTCCAACCATTGCCGACACAAACCAAGATGGAGCGAAACATATGGCAGGGCCAACACTGCTGTCGTGTCATGCAACCTCCTCGTCGTGGTCGATCTCAACTCCGCCATTGGCCGCCTCGTCCGTGAGCGATCCTTCGGCTCGTTCGGCGACACCAAACAAGAGGGCAACGAGCCCTTCTCCCGGCACGTCGCCACCCCGCGCTTCCGCCCGCCCCCCGTCCTTGCCAGGACCGCTCCTCCCTCCTCGCTCCCCACCGCCGACTCCCGTCTCCTCCGCAACCGCTGATGCAGCTACAGCTGCTGCCTTTTCAGCTACCGCCAGCACTGACGCGCCGGCGGGAGCCCTCCCGACGCGGTGGTCGCAGACACCCCCGGTACCGCCGCCGTCGCCCGTCGCCGCGCGGGCGAAGTTGCAGATGATGCAGTTGTACACCATCGCGAGGTCAAACTCCGCCCCGTCCTCGTCTTCGTTGACAGCGCCAAGGTTGCTGTTGCTCCTATCGTTGCTAGCCACCAAAGTCTCCTCTTGGGCGCAGTCTTCACCCGAGGCGGCCCCTGTCGATGAGACTCCGCGCGGTACCAACTCCGAGGCTATGCCACCGTTCCCTGCTTCCCTCTCAGCCTCTTCTTCCAGTCCCCGTTCGGCGAAACTCGCCGCTGCACCAAGAGAAGCCCCGTCTCCCAGCGCCCGAGGCTCGTCCGCAGGGGTTTCTTCTGCGATGCTTCTGTTTTCGACCTCGCAGTCATCATTGAAAGACGACGGTGGTTGCTGTTCTCGTAGTCGCTTTGGCCGCTCAACAACAGCCTGCTGCCGCTGCGCCGCGAACGCGCTGCTGCTGGAGCTCTGCATCTCCTTCGCTAGCGTCATGGCTTCGTCGAGCAGCCCAACCCTCGCGCAGGCGTAGACGACCGACCGGTAGGCCCTCGGCGACGCGTGGAAACCCTCCCGGCGCATCACCCTCAGCAGGCTTGTAGCGCCTCCGGCATCGTCGGCGTCCCCGAGGGCCTCTATCGAGCAGTCCAGCTCTTCCGGGGACGGCCCCCCGCCGCCGCCGCTCCCGCGCCCCCCACCCCCTCCTTCCCCCTTGCCCCCACCCCCGTCGGCTCCCGCCTTTTCTCCTCCTTCTTGTGTTGCGGCGGTGCCGCCGCCGCCGTTGGACCCCGGCCCGTTCTGAAGGAGCCGCGCGATGTTCGCAAGCTCCGGAGCCCAGTCGGTGAACCGCCGGCGGTTGATCCCCACCACGGCAGCGGTGTACGTAACCTTACTCGGGCGAATGCCCTGCTTCCTCATGTCCGCCAGCAGGGCGAGCGCCCGCTCCCAGTGGCCCGCCTGCGAGCACTGGGTGAGGTCGGAACGGGGGCGGAGGGTGGGCAGGCGGAAGCAGGGTGTGTGCTTGTGGCTAGAGAACGTGCGCTCGGTTCAAGTGCCGGGAACAAGGCTGGACCCTGCTCAACCGTTAGAATTCGTGTTCTACCCCCGCGCCGAGCAGGTAAGATTATTGCGACCTCAGTCGAGTTTCTTGTGCGCCGCAAAATCCACCCTCCGCAGGACACTCACAGCTGCGATGGCGGCATCCCACGACCGAACGCTCGGCTGCAGCCCCAGGCCAAGCACGTACGCCAGGAAGCGAACCGCAGCTGCCCAATTCGCCTCCTGGGGTGAAAGAGCACGGGGCGTCGTTTTCTTGTCCATGCGGAGAAGAGAAAAACGCGTTGGGAGCGATAGAGCAAGCTACTTCGCATCGAGATGCCACAAAAAGGGCGCAGGGCTAGTAGGAAAACCGGACCTTCTGTCTCTTTCAGCCTTGGGGGCATCTCGTTGAAAGAACGTCCGCCGAGAACAGTGGTGAATCAAGCCGCGGGGAGGAACACGCGCATCGCCAATACTGCAAGTGCGACGGGCATACCTGCAGCGAACACCCCGAAGTAACCGCATGCACAACGAAACGCTCGAAATTTCAACGAGCGTAAGCTGGCTACCAACTCGCAAAAAAACTGAATGATACTTATTGCCTCCGCTGCTCCATGTCTGATCTGCGTTATACATGTGGAGAATATCTCGGACGCGTGGGCTCCCATCCCCTGCCTCCCCGGCTATGCCCAGACTGGTGTGCCGCCTCCCTTACCTTTGCAAATCCCCAGACTATGGTCTCGTAGGTGTAGAGCGAAGGCTCAAAGCCATGGGACTGCAGGCGCCTCATGAGGGCCACGGCGCGCTCCGGTTTTCCTTCCGCGGACCATCTGAAAGAGCAGGGTCGCGGTTTGTTGTCGTTAACGAATGGTAGGTGCTATCCATCCAAACCATCAAAAGTGTGTTGATTTGGCGCGGGGGGGGGGCATGGTACGAGTGATCCAGACCAACCGCACGGGAATTAGCACTGCCCTAACGACGTGCTCTGAATGGAAATTGAAGCTGCTGAGCTGCTGACCAGGCGGAGAAAATCCTGCGTGATAGGGGCAACAGCTTCCTACCATTCCATTTCGATATGCCCAAAAAACGATGGACATGGGAAACCTCAACGGTTCGGTCATGGGTACGGAGGTTGCTACCGAACACTCAAGTGTTGGTCGTTATTGAAAGCAGCGTGGATTAGACGTACAAAAATCCTCCAAGTGAAGCCGTAGGTTGAACGAAGGTGACAACAGGCGCAAAAATACACAAAAAGTAAGACGAAACTCACGCCGCAACCATAGTGTCGCAATGAATCTTGTTCGGGCGCAAGCCGGCCGCGATCATTTCGTCCAGCAACTCCGCCCCGCGCGCCACGTCCCCGGCCTTCAGGCACGCGAACAGCCCCGCCGAATACGCCACCACGTTAGGCACTGGCAACCCTGCCCGCCGCCCACTCCCGTTCCTCAAGCCCCCTCTTACCGCGGCCGCGGCCGCCTGCGCCTCGTTCATCCGCAACTCGGACAGAAGGCCGAGGGCTTCGTCCACGCGCCGTGCGCGTGCGCACGCCGTTATGGCGCTCGCGTAGCTCACGACATCAGGCGGGGGGGGTGCCTCGACGCCTGCCGTGTCCCCTCCCCCGGGGGCGCCGTCGCTCGCGGCGCCGGCTACCCCGAGTTTCATTTCCTGCAGCAGCTGAAGGGCCGCGGTCCAGTCCATGGCCACGGAGCAGGCGTCGATGGCGGCGTTGTAGCAGGCGGTGTCCGCCCGGACCCCGGCCTTCCGCATGTGCCCGAGAAGGGCGAGGGCCTCTCGCTGCCGGCCGGCTTTCCCGCAAGCGTCCACTGTAAGCATGGCCGACGCGGGTCGGCGTGCGGTGTGGTCGAACCGATCCGACCGAGGGCAACAGGGAAAGTGACACGAGGGATAGCCATCGTTCAACACAGGAAAATGATCAATCAAATAACGAACCAGCGTGAATACCTTGCAAGGCTTTTTCGCAATACCCAGCGATGTATGCATAACATTCAGGCTAACCAAAACTTGGCCGAACGTAGCACCGCCCTGGGGTTAGAAACTGAGAACGAAAGCTCCGAGAAGCATACAATCAAAATTCCAAACCGCCACCGCATGGCGGCAAAACAACAAGAGGCGCTAGCTTGATCCGCCTGATTCTATTCGTCTCTCTGCCTTTCTCTCGCTAGCTCTCTGGTAGTGCCGAGATGGGCTTCTCTCGACCTCCTACATTTGTCTGATTATCTGCCCCGCCGGTCGGCCTGCCTGTTAACTCTTCCCCCTTTCTCACTTGCAGCGGAGTAGTTGTACGCGTTGGGGGTGACTGCTGCTTGTCGCATGTCTTCCAAGAGCCGGAGCGCGGCCTTCCACTCCCCGGCGTTCCCACACGCACCCAGCACGCCGTTGTAGCTGATCTGTAAAGCATACAACCACAAGCCGTTGAAGGGCGTTTTTCGAGCCAAATACGAAAGCAACCAACCAACCACACAGACTATGGTCGCTAACGGATGTCAACAATCCCTCGGCAATCTTGTGCTCAAGTTCCTAACGCGTCACGACTAATCAGACCAGCGCTCCAAGGCTGAACGAACAAGCTGTCAACACATTCCGGTCACCTCGAAAAATGACAAGTAGGGTCACCTGGTCAGGCGTCAGGCCCTCGTTCTTCATCTCGGCCAACAACGAAAACGCCACGTCGCACTGCCCGTTGTCAGCCACCGCCTTGATGGCCGTATTGAATGTCACCGTGTCAGGCGTCAAACCCTCTTTTCTCATGGTCTCTAGGAAACCTTGCACCTCTTCCCAAAGGCCGCGACTGCGGGGGGGAAAGGAGCGGCGGGGGGGATACGGTTGAAAGCGAGTATGCCGCAGCAGTGAGTGGACAAACGGGTTGCCGATACGGTTGGGTGAGAAACAGCTACGGTGTGGTACTAACATATCTCCCCTCGGGGGGAGTATCGTCGCACGTCGCACGAAACAAAAGAAACGCGTCGACACGGGCGGACCTCACATGCCGGCGGTGGCGATGGCGGCCGAATAGCTCCTCTGATCTGGATCTATCCCGTCCTCCCTCATCATCTCCAGCAGCACTTCTGCCCTTCGCAGGTCACCTTTGGCTTTGCACGCCGCCAGGCAAGAGTTGTAGGTAATGATGTTCGGAGTAACGCCTGCCTCCGCCATCGTCTTGAGGACTTCAGCGGCGGCAACCGCGTCCCCTCTCTTCGCGGCCGCGTTGGCGACGGCGTTGTAGGTGAACTGGTCGGGGTGCAAAAGAGCGCCGCTGGAGGCTAGTTCCGTCATGCGGCCCAGAAGGCGCCGGGCTGCGTCCAGGTCCCCGCAACGCGCGTGCCCGTTGATGGCCGAGTTGTAGGATATCGTGTCTGGCGCAATGGAGTCGCGCTCGAGCATGACGGTGAGCAATGCCTCGGCTTCCCGCGGGCGGCCGCAACGCGCCATCGCGGCGATGGCGGTGTTATAGATGTACACGTTGCCCTTGACTCCTTTCCCTCCCATCTCGCTGACTAAAGCCGCGACTTCTCGCCAGTTCCCTCGGAAGCCGGCTGCCTTGATGAGGTGCAGGTAGTCCTTCTGCTTCTGCTCCGTCTGTCTGGCGGCGGCGACATTGCCGAGGCGGCGCCGCCGGCGGGGGTCAGCCATCCCTGTCGGCGTCGTCGTCGTCCTTATGGGAGTCGAGGAGCTGCCAATCCTTCTAATGGGGCGTCGGTTGCTGCTGCTGCTGTTGTTGCTGCTACTGCTGCTGCTGCTGCTGTTACCACCTTTTCTGCTGCTGCTACCGCCACTGCCGCCACTGCCGCCACTATTTTCGCCGTTGCTATCTGCTGCTGCAGTTGTGATGCCTTCTCCCACTGATGCTGCCACCGAGTATGATGCCGCAACCGACGGGGCTCGTCGTCCGCCTAGGTCAGGCGGCCAGCAGCCGTCCGATGCTGCTCCCAGCAGCGAGATCTCCCCTCTGCCTCTTCTCCTTCCTCTCCTCCCTCTCTCCACAATGGCAGCAGCGCCCCCGCTGACTGCGACGTGTTGACAGCTTACCTTTGAGATGCTTGATTCAGGAGAGAGGCTGGTAACACCGGTAGCATCATGGTTTCGTCGCATGGGGACGGTGCGATGACATGACTGTAAGGGGCATGGAGCGGCCCTAAGGGCATTGGCCGGGGTGACTGCATAAAGAACCATGACAGAGTCGATCGATCACACGCCAGCACACATCAACATGCACAGCTGGCAGCTCAGGTGCTGTGCACAGAGCGGGCCGATCGGGCGATCGAGGAGACACGAACCCCCCCCACCCACTGGTACACATTCACGGCGCCCCACCCGAAACACCGCCTTTGTTCCGCCGCACCATCTCGAACAACCACCTGAACTCCTGAACTTGCCCTCACACACAAACCAGATCGGACTCAATACTCAACAGGGCAGCTTCGAGGAAATGTCATCGTCGAGGAGAAAGAGCAAGGACCCTGCAGACTGCGAGGTATTTTGCACCGTAACATTTTGCTGAATAAATAGTGAACCAGTTTCGAGAATAGAAAGCTCTCAAATCCATGCCGTAACCTTGTCAGAGAGAGCTGCTCATTTGTTATTTGCGTACAGGGGACAAAATGAACTCTTGCCCACGGGTAGATCCTCATGGTGTTTTCAGCGTTGCTATGTCGCAAGCAGGGTTTTGTGCTGTTCCGGCCGAGTTGAGAAGATTTATGTTTGGGACACAGCAGCCAGCCGTAGTCTACTTTGTTGGTGGAAGCGGCGGCGACGGCTGTTGTAGAGATAAGGGTGCACTGCTATCTCACAACTGCTGTGTGCTGTCAACCCCAGGTATGCATATAGTAGGGAATCCAGCCCCCCCCTCCTATGTGATCCCGGTTGGGTCGTCTAGCTAGTAGGAATGGAGGATAGGGGCCAGAGGGGCAGACGACAGAGTCCAATGATGGGAGCAAAATATATATACATATATGTATATCATCGCTGTGTCGCTGAAACTGATAGCCAGGTTGTTCTTAAAAACACACATGAAATACTGAAAGAATGCCCGTTCAAATGTAACCACAATCGAAAGGGATGTCAAAAAACCTCTCGATGTACGACGTATTTGTACCTGCACCAACTACAGCTGTATAATCCCCGTATGCCTGCGAACTGCCGTGGTGTACGTGTAGGTTCACCTCTCTTCCGCCTAGCCTCCCTTGAGAAAGGGCATAGCAACATGACACGGGCGCCGGATAGATGCAACCGGTTTCCCGTGCTGTTGGGAAACGCTACTATTGTCGACTGCTTCGGGGTGTTGTATACATCTCATGTTTGTTTCCCTTGGGGACACGGCCCCTCGCCCACCCGCTTTCCAATGCGAAGGACCCAGCCTGCACAGACATGGCGGATCTTCTCCGAAAGGGGAGGGCTCTTGCCGCAAAGAACAAGGAGAAGGCGGCGACGAGTACCGCTACTGATGGTAAGGCCGCGGGTGGTCGAGCACAACCGAGTTCTTCTGCGGCGGAAATGGAAGAGCATGCTGCAAGTTCTTCCAGAAACGATGGATGTCCGCTTGACAAGGGCGAGCTGGGAGCCGCCACCTGGGGGTTGGTAAGTCAGGGCTCAATAGCGAACAAGGTTCGATTTGGACGCCACGGCATGGGTGATCGCTGCTGTGGTGCTGTGTCTGTGCTGTCCTCGATCAATGCTGCGTACAATCCGTAAACTTTCGGGTATAGACTATATAGGCAATAATGAATTTTCGCGTCCCCATTCTTGAGCGAAAAACACGCCTACGGAAACCTCACAGGTTGAGTGATAAAGGAGATTGCCGGACACATAGACATGTTGAGTGATTATATCTGTATACTGAAACCCCAAGGGTTGAGTGAGGTTTGAGATTGCCAGACACATGGACGGGTTGAGTGGGAATAGATGCATTCTGAAACCCCACGGGTTGAGTGATGTTGGATAGTGCCGGACACATAGATGCGTTGAGTGAGGATAGACACACACTGAACCTCACAGGTGATTTGTGATGGAGATTGCCGGACACATGGACGTGTTGAGTGAGGATAGCTGCATACTGAAACCTCACAGATGCACTGGTTTTTGAGTTTGCCAGACGCATAGACGCGCTGAGTGGGGATAGCTACATACTGAAACCCCACGAGTTGAGTGATGTTGGAAAGTGCCGGACACATATTCGCTTGGAGTGAGGAAAGACACATACTGAAACCTCACAGGTGATTTGCATTGGAGATTGCCGGACGCAAAGACCTGTTGAGTGGGGATAGCTGCATACTGAAACCTCACGGATTGATTTTTGAGTTTGCCAGACACATAGCCGCGCTGAGTGGGGATAGCTACATACTGAAATCTCACGAGTTGAATGATGTTGGATAGTGCCAGACACACAGGCGGTTTAAGTGAGGATAGCTGCATAGTGAGACCTAACGGGTTGAGAGACGTTTGCGACTGCCGGACACATAGACGCATTGAGTGAAGAAAACTGCATACTGAAACCTCACAGGTTGATTTGAACTAGAGATTGCCGGACACATAGACGCGTTGAGTAAGGATAGCTGTATACTGAAAATCCACAGTAGCTATAGTGAGGGGACCATTCGAGAATGCAGTACACATAGACCCGGCCCCCAACCCGCACCCGAACCCCCCCTGAAAAATAGAGGTCATGCGCCCCCCCCCCCGCTATACCTCCCCCAGGGATGAGGAGGGTACAGTCCAAAGTAAGCACAAGCTTACCTACGGTTAATGCCTATTGGTACGGCATAAAAAAATACTAACGTCCCCCATTGGGCGGTGGAGGACTTAGAGCTAAGACACCCCAAAACTCTCCGGCGTGAGATCCAAAATGGATTGGACGGTGGACGGGGGGGAGGTGTTCGTTGCTTGAAGTGGATCAATAAAACACAGAGCCATCAAAGCAGAGCTTATTACTCACGTCGAGCAAGCTGAACGACTAGACCAACCACGCAAAAACTGCGGAGCTAGATGTGCGGCACGCACAATGCATTGTTTTCGATT